GTTTGGGGGGAGCGGGAGGTGGGGGCGTCGGGGGATGGGGCAGCTTTTGTTCTCTAGGGGAGGTTGGAGTGTGGGGGTGGGGTGGGGGGTGCCCGGTGGAAGCGACCGAGACAGAGACGCAGAGACACAAAGAGATCAGAGACGGAGCGCGAGGGAGCGCGCCCGAGCGAGTTTCCGCGGCTGATTGTTCCCAGCTGTGCGGCGCTGCAACATCTGGTTTCCTCCCGCTGGGACCCCGGCCCGGCCTCCTGAGCAGGCGGCGCCCTCCCTCTGTCTGGGCGAGCCTGGGGGCCCCCTGCGCCCCCTCCTCCCCGGGACGGGCGGGGTGAGGAGGGTGGGAGGCTGCGGTTGTGGAAGAGGCCACAGGTGGGGGTGGGGCAGCCTCCTGGGTAGGTCATGGCCTCCCCCACGCCCCAGAAACCCATAGGAGTGCTTGGAGATATGGTGTCCTGGGAGGGATCCATTACTCCCACCCTGACTCTTCTTTACAGCCCCAGCCCTAGCTAGCCCTTGGGCCCCCTGCCCCATAAGCCTGGGCCTGGGTGCCAGTCCCTCTCAGGGAGGAAGACTCCATGCAGGGGACTGAGAGGCACCCCCCAACCTCTTTAGGCCCCCTCATGCCCAGCTCAGGGCCTCTTCCTGAGTAGTGACAGCTCCAACTGGCCTGGCTGCTACCAGCCTGGGTGGGGGTGGGGGGATAGCGAGGCATATGGGGGTGAGCAGGGATGGGTCTCTAGGTCTTTCTTTCAGTCCTTCTGCCATGTGGAGGCCAAGAGTTTTCAGAATGAGATGAAAGCCAGATGTCCCCTGCCTCTGGGGCAGCTTGGGTCAGGAGTCTCCCCCCGTCCCGCCACACCTCAGTGAGGTGTTGTATGTGTGAGCTGGGCAGGGAGTCAGAGAAGTCTCAGGATTTTGAGGAAGAAGGAAAGCTGTCCACGTTTCTGCCCCTTTCCCTGCCCTCTACCTAGATTCCCAGGGGGGAGATACAGCAAAGGTAGGGTTTCCAGCTAGCTGTCTGGGAGAACTTGCTATGTTGGGCAGGGAGGGGCCCCTCCTGGTTCTGTGCTCACAGCCTCTCTGCAGAAGGCTGACAGTCTGGAGATTGCCCTCCACTGAGCTGGGACTGGACATGGGGACCTGGAGGCTCTGCCAAGTCCCCTGTGCAGCCAAGACTGGAGGCCAGACTCGACCAGGAGTTCTTGAACGTCAGGAACCTGGTAAAAGCTATGGAATGGTGCCCGCTCCCCCAAAATTACACACAGCACTTCTCATACAATGTCAGGGGTTCTGAACCCCAGGGCTGGGTGACATCATGGATCCCTCCAGCACTGCCAGTCTAGAGTCCAGAGGAGCCCACTTCAGGCCCCACCCTAAGTGCTTCCTGCTGCTGCAAACATAGACCTCAGTCTCGTGAGTCTGGGATGAAGACAGCCAGGTCTTGGGAGCCTGGAGGCCTGGCAAGAGAGGAGTCTTCTGGGGGCTGGGAGCCCTGCCCGGCCTGGCTCCTCTGGGGGCTGCTCAGGTCCATGTGCATGTGGTTTCCTGCAGAACAAGATGCTCAGGGCCCAGGGGCTAATTGGGAGCAGGTGATGGGCTTGGCAGAGCTGCTGAGTCTAGGCTGTGATGCTGGCTGGGCAGGGCTGGGATCCCAAGGATGGGCCTGGGGTCAAGGATTCACATAGTCAGTGCATTGGACATGTGGGGAGGTGCTGGGCCAAAGAGGTGGGCATGGTATAGGTGAGGAGAGAATGGCCAGTGCGGGCAGGGAGTAGTGGGCATTAGAAATGTCCCCTTAGTAAGCAGGGCAGGGTGGGGTCTGTTCATTTGTCAAGATCATCCCTGGAGGGGGACTGTCCAGTTAGTGCAGTTGGTTAGAGTGCAGTGTTGTAACACCAAGATCGAGCATTCAGATCCCTGTATCAGCCAGCCACACAAAAAAAAAAAGATCAGCCCTAGGCAGGTTGGAGGCCTTGTCCCCCGTTAACCTAAAAACCCAAGTGGGCTAGCAGGGACTGCAGATGTCCCTCCAAAGTAGTCCCTGCCCCCAGCCCTTGGCCCTCCACATGCCTGGCTTCTATTCTGAATGCCTCCTCCTCCAGGCTGAATTCAGGGGACCAGAAGTGGACTCTGCAGTCCTGGGTTAATGGGCCTGGGGTGCAGCTCTCCCGCTCCTCTTCCCCCAGCTGTCCTCTGACGCCATCCCAGCCTGCCTCACTTTGTGGCCATGAGAGCTGCCTACCTCTTCATTCTAGTCCTGCCTGGTAAGTGGCTCCCTCTAATGTGGGGTGGGAATGGAGTTTCTGGAGGGAACTCACAGTGAGCCTTTGTCATGCCCTATGGCCAGAGCTCAGCTCTCCAGCTCCCAGGGCTTCCTGCCTGCCTGGACCACAGACTAGACCAGCCAACCGTACCAGAGTCTGAAGGCATCTCCTAGGCCCTTCCCCCAACCTTCCACGCCAGCAGGCAGACAGGATTCTGGAGGGTGTGCTCATGCCAGGCACCAGGATTCCATGCTTTTCCTCTTACTTATTGCCCCTCCTGAGAGCCCATGTGCAGGAGTAGGGGGCACCCAAGGCAGGTAGTCCAGAGACCTGGGTCTAGACCCATTTGGGGCTCCACCACCCTACACAATCTTGACCTTGAAGGCGTCCCTGTTAGTCAAGTGAGGAGATATCAGTAGGGATCACAAAGGCGCTGCCAGATGTAGTACTCATTCATTAGTTCATTAATTCAACAGATAATGTGTTGAACTCCTACTATGTGCCAGGCACTGGGTAGGTCCTGGAGATGCTGCAATGAACTAGGCAGACAAATGTCTGCCCTCGCCATGCTGCCAGTCTAGGGAAGGGTGGCAGATATTAAAGTAGACATGCCAAACTTCAGATTGTGTGAGCGCTGTGATGGAAATAAACAGGAGGGCGGCAGGCTAGTGACCACCTCGTGGCAGAGCTGAAATTGCAGGCGAGACCTGAAGGAGGAGAAGCCGAGTAGGTATCACATGTCTGGGGAGAGTCAAGTGCAAAGGCCCTGAGACAGCAGGAGCATGTTGAGTTCCAGGAACATCCAGGAGGCCAGTGGGGGAGAGGGACAGGGTAAGGCAGGGAGGTGACACAAGATAGGGTGTGTAAGGGCCTTTATGGTCGAGGAAGGAGTTTGATCCTGTGAATTTAAATATGGTTTTGGGGTCCTCGGCTTTTACAGGCCTGCCCCTGTGCCTCTACCTACCCTCCCCAGAAACACCTCGGGCCCCTGATGTCCTTCCCTGCAGGACACCCCCACATGCTTTTTCTCCCCACAGCAGGCCTGCTGGCTCAGGGCCAATATGACCTGGACCCACTGCCTCCGTTCCCTGACCACGTCCAGTACACCCACTACAGTGACCAGATCGGTAAGGGCCATGCCACTCCCAGGTGTCCCCCAGCCCTGCCATGTCATCAAGGCCTGGCTCCCCAGATGTGCATGGCTTAGCCAGGGACCAGGTTGGGTAGGATGATGGGAACCCCAGGGGTTGGTGCCTGGCTCAGTTGAGGTTTGTGACCTCATTTGCCCCTGGTGCTAGGGGCTTAGGGGCTAGCCTGACCCCCACCAATTCCACACTTATCTTTGTTTTCAGACAACCCAGACTACTATGATTATCAAGGTAAAAGGGCTGGGGACAGGATAGGATGGGTGGGCAGCTGGGGTGGAGGAGCCCATGAGGACTCTGGGAGGGAAAAGAGGGGGCAGACCCCCTTATCATCCCTTTTTGCAGAGGTGACTCCTCGGCCACCTGAGGAACAGTTCCAGTTCCAGTCCCAGCAGCAAGTCCAACAGGAAGTTATCCCAGCCCCCACCCCAGGTAGGCCACAGGCCCTGCTCCCATTCCCTTCAACTCCCTGTCAACCCTGGGAGTGGGGGTTCTGTGCCAGAGCTGGGAGGGGTGACCCCCCTACCCTGAATAGACCCCGCCCAGTGATCCCTTCCTGCCTCTCTCTCAACACCAGAACCAATAAATGCAGAGACGGAGCCCACAGAGCCTGGGCCTCTTGGTAAGAGCTTTCCTGACAGCTGGAGAAACAGAGGCATAGACCTAGAAGTTGGGGTGGAGGATGGGCGGTGCTGGTAGGACAGAGGCCTTTTGCTCTTGCTGGGTCAGGCAGTGTGGGCTGCTGGTGGTAATGTGGGGGTGGGGGGAGCTCACAGATGTGCCCCTGCTTTAGGCTGGCATCTCCAGTCCCCCCCAGGCAGCTCGGGGAGACCCCACCCTGCCCTGTGGGCCTGGCTAGAGGCTGAGATGGCCACAGCCTAGAGAGGGCCCCTTTCCTCACAGACTCTGGGAGGGGCAGGGGGAATGCTGGAGGCTTCCTGCCAGCCAGAGGGACTGGGTGGTGCATGTGGTGAGGCAAGGAAGGGCCAGGGAGCCCAGGATGCTGAGTGGTGCCCTGTGTACTGCCCCAGCCAAGAGCCCGTGCATGTGGGAGAGAGTCTGTTTGCTCACTCTTGCGGGGGCTACTGGAAGCATGTGAGAATCTGCTTGTGACTTGATATAGACTTTTGTGACCTCGCTGGATTTCTGTTTGAACTTACATGTGTTTGAATATATGCTTCTAAGTGTGGTTGTGAATTTCTATATGTACCTTGTATAAAATTGGGTAGCTCTGCATGTGTATATGTGGGTGGGCCTGAGGGTGCGGGGGGTACCCAGACCCTGTGGGCCAGTCTCAAGTGGGTGAGGCTGGAGGCTGCCCCCCCTTAGCTCTGGGCCCCTAGACTGATCCTGCCTGTCACCCAGACTGCCGCGAGGAACAGTACCCATGCACCCGCCTCTACTCCATACACAAGCCTTGCAAACAGTGCCTCAACGAGGTCTGCTTCTACAGGTGAACGCAGTTGGGCAGCTGTAGGGAGAACTATAGGGAGGATGGGGGGTGCGGGAGTGGGGAGGGGTCAGCTCTGGCCAGCCAAGGTGGGAGCTTGGGGAAATATAGTGAATCCTGAAGTTGAGCTCAACTCTGTGATTGAGCCTAGGCCTGGGACCTGGACTCCCAGGCTCCAATGCCAGGTTCTGTCCAGTGGGGTGGGTGAAGGTGGGGCTGATCACCCATGATCCTGTGCCCCCAGCCTCCGCCGTGTGTATGTCGTCAACAAGGAGATCTGTGTCCGCACAGTCTGTGCCCACGAGGAGCTCCTCCGAGGTAGGAAACCCCCACCCCAGACCTCTGCCTGCCCGCACACCTTCATTATCTGGCCAACTGTTCACCCACCTGATGTTTATTAAGCACATATTATATGCCAGGTTCCACTTCCAGGGCATCCTGAGCTCCCTTCCCTGCTACTTTCATCCTCAGAACATCCTCCCAGGGCTGGCCTGTGGCTCACTTGGGAGAGTGTGGTGCTGATAACATCAAGGCCATGCGTTCAGATCCCTACATAGGGATGGCCGGCTGGCTCACTTGGGAGAGTGTGGTGCTGATAACATCAAGTCAAGGGTTAAGATCCCCTTACCGGTCATCTTTAAAAAAAAAAAAAACATTCCCCCATCACCTGAGTGGGGGAGGGGTAGCCGTTCCCATCACCCAACCCCACCCTGACCCCATCTTCTCCCTCCCCCAAATAGCTGACCTGTGTCGGGACAAGTTCTCCAAATGTGGCGTCATGGCCAGCAGCGGCCTGTGCCAGTCTGTGGCGGCCTCCTGTGCCAGGAGCTGTGGGGGCTGCTAGGATGGAGCCAGCATCCTGAGCCCTGGACCCTCCTCAGATCCGTGGATCCTCAGGCCATGCCTGACCTGGTGCTTTTCTCCCCAACCCACATTCCTTTTATTGTGTAAAAATTTAGTGGACTACAGCCCTAGGGGGTGTGGGGTGCGGTGCCTCAGGGCCCTCCCCCAGCCTGTGGCCACCCCTGGGCCACAGTGGGGGCTCCCCACCACCCAGTCCCCGCCCCCTGGTTGGGGGGTGTCCCAGGCCTCTCTCTGGGACCTGGGTCCCTGACGTGCCTTCTCAGTCCCTCTGAGGACAGTCCCCCGAGGTCGGTCAGCTATGCCCCTCACCCCAGCTGGTCTGCTTGGATTTCCGACAGTCCCCTGGGCTTGGACCACCTTTGTTTTATACAAAATTAAAAACAAGTTTTTACAAAAGACTGAGTCACTTTTTCAGCTGAGAACACAGAGCGGGCAGCCAGGTGCCTCCCAGGCTGTCTGTGCCTACCAAGAGGCTACCCAACCCCTCAGAGAGAGAGGCTGTTTAGGTGACTTGTGACTTGCTTCTGCAGTCCCAGCCCTGCCCCTCACCCTCTGGGCTTCAGCTCTGACCTGCCCAGAAAGATGGGCCATGGCACCTGCCCCCACGATGTGTATGTGTGTGTTGCTAGGGGCTGCATCAGGAATGGGTTTCAGAGGTACAGCTTTCTCATTATCAGGGCTCTTGGTGAAGGCGTGGGTCCCCATCACCAGGAGGGCGGGGACAGCTCTGGCCAGCCAAGGTGGGAGCATAATGAAGAGGGTGAGGCAGGAGGTCAAGGTATATAGACTCTGACATCAAGGGCTTTTTTTGGAGGGGGGAAGCTGGTGCTGCTAAGATGGCAGAGACAGGAGAGACATTCTGACAACTCCCTCTGACCAGCCTGAATGTCCAGCACACTCTCCTATCTAATGGTCCCAACAGGTGTGTACAACTAATGTCCCATCTTACAGCCAGGGACACTAAGCCCAGAGGCATCAAGTAACCCCCTTCCCCCTGGTGTCCAGAGCTGTAAGTGGCAGAGTGGGACAGCATCCGGCTGTTGACTCCAACAGATGAAGATGAGCATAATTTCTCCTTGAAACGCTGAGCCCTCTGATGTGAACTTTCCCTGTAGCCACCTTGTGAGGCAGTTTCCCATTTTACAGACCAGCAAACTGAGGCTCCGAGAGATTAAGCAGCTTTGCCCAGGCTCACTCAGCACAGCCAGGGCAAGCCTGTGCTTGTTCGCACGCTGCCTGTAAGGCCTGTCACTGTCCAGAGGGTGGGACCTGCATCCTGAGGAGGAGCCAGAGAAAGGGGAAGGAAAGCTTTGGCTGCAGAGTCCAGCTGCGCCTGTCAGGTCACAGCCCCAAGCCTCAAAAGCCCCATCTGTTAAATGGAGTACGTGGCCCAGGACCCCAGAGGCCTCCCTGAAACTCTGTGAGGTTGGTAAGTTCTTACACAACACGGGCCCTTCTCTGCACCCCTATCTCCCCAAGCACCCATCCCTAGAGGGCCCCATCCCTCTTGCCCCAGGTCCCACCTGTGTCCCCTCCCGTCTCCTCCCAGGTGAAGGAGGCACACCAACAGTACAGAAAAGGGACATGTCTATACAAACTGTTTTTAGAAAATGGGGTCTTCTTGTTACAAAAAACAGTCCTGAACAGTTAACATTGTAAAAAGATATAAAAATACAGGGACTCTGAGCTTTCTGAGGAATGTCCTGACAGAACTAAGGCGGAGAGATCTGAGAAGTCAGGGTCAGGGCCTGGATTTCTGACCCTTGCCCTGGGCCTTGGCCCCCTCCTCTTTCCCATGAGCCCATCCTCCAGGGGCCTGCTGCGGGGCTGGCCAGAGACAAGGGCCCTCCCCAACCCCTGGCTTTGGCTCAACAGCTCTCAGGGAGGACCTTGTACAACCCAGAGTGGCTCATCCCAGGGGCTGAGCTGAGGTGGGGCCTGCAGAGAAGCCACTGCTGGATCTGGTGTCCCTATCCCTCAGCATGGCCACCCCGCGCCCGCCTCACCCCACCCCAGCTCTGGGGACCCCGCTGGACCAGGCCTGGGTGGGTTGTGCTGGAGAGGAGGTCCCTCTGCTGCCCCGGGGATGGGGCTGCTCTCCAGGATGCTGGCTGGGAAGGGCTCATTTTTCTGGGGGGCCAGAGGGTGGGGAGAGGGATGCTGAGCTCCTTTGAAGCTCCTGCTGCAACTGTCCCTTCAGTGTGGACACCTAGAAAAGAAAGAGAAGGTAAGGCCAGCCCAGGTCCACAGCCTGATTTCAGAGAAAGGGAGGTGACTGATGGAGGGACCCTCAGGTGCAACTGAGAACCCAGAGGGACCCTATGCTGCCTGTCTTGGGAAAGGTCTGGTCTCATTAAAAGCCGGGGAATCCCTCCCTTCTCATTTTGTTCCTCGTAGCAGAGTCAGCTGTCTTTGGGGACCACCTCACCCCTATTCTTTATCCCCTTTGTCATCTGGGTGGGCCTGGCTCTAGCCCAGACTCTGTGGCCACGTGACCAGGCCTGACCTATCAGAGCAGCCTTGCCCTACAGACATGGCTGGGTCAGGCAGGGATGGTCGGGAAGCTGGCCGGTGAGGACCAGACCTGGCACTGTTGCTGATGCTCTCAGGAAGAAGGCCCCCTTCCTCCTCTGGGGTCACAGGTTATTGGGAGAATCTGAAGCTAATGCTGCTGAGGCCACCTGTACCACCCAAGGAGAGGGCCTGCCTGGGCACGGAGCCACAGGAGAGCATAGCCATGGCAAGAGGGGCTGAGCCCCTGGTCCAGCCACGGCTGATAAGAGCATTGATCCACCCGGCCCTTGCCAGTGATGGCAGCCATCGACTGCTTATCCTCATGAGGTCATGACCAGCCCTCTCCTCCTCTTCCTCCAGCCCCACACTTCCATCCTGGCCCAGTCTTCCCCAGGGGAAAGTACCTGCTCCTCCAGCCCACGCACCCTCTGGCGGTGGGCCCGCTCCCGCACCTCCAGAGTCCGCTCCGTCTGCACCTGGGCACTGCGCAAGCGCTCTACCTCCTGCTGCAGCTCCAGCCGCTGCTGGTCATCTGCCTCCAGCTGGATTGGGCTATGGTTCTGCTCCAGTGCCACCACCTGGGCCTGCAGGGAGTGGCCACAAGACAGAGTTCTGGCCCTGTGCGCGTGTGCATGTGTTTGTGCGTGTGTATGTGCACGCATGTGTGTGTGTATGCTTGTGTGTGTGATGGGGTGTCAGGCACTTCCCTGGGGCAAGCTGGCACAGGTGGGGGATGCAGGAGAGATCCTTGCTTGTCCCCCATTCTGCTGGGCCCTGACAGTAAGCTTGTGAATCCTGAGTTAGGGTGCCCAGTGACCCCCTCTCGGACAGACAGACAGACACACACACGTATTCAAACATGTGTATGTACGTATTCAAATATGTATATGGGCCCAAAAGCAGCACATAAATACGTACCCATGCTCACCTAGATGCATCCATATATGCAAAATCCCATTACTCCTACATACATCTACATACATGAGAACATCTGTACAAAACACACGTATAACATATTCATAACTCATAAACACGCCACATCCATGCACAAGATTCATGCTACGTGCACAAGGATACTCACATGGACACTCATCTCTACATGTCCACAACATACATGAACAGACAGGCTCACGTGCTAACAGGTCTTTAGTGTCTTTCCTCTCTACCTCGGGGAGAACCCCTCCCTCCCTACCTGGGCCAGCTGGGACACCCCTGTAAGACTCTGGCCCTGGGACAGTTTGGCACTCAGGCTGGGGGTGAAGTTGGGATTCAGGGCTAGGGAGAGAGGGTGTCCAGGGCTGGGTGAGCAGGGACCAGACCTCCAGCTGCTGGATCTGCCTCTGGGCCTCGGCCAGCTCCAGCTCAGCCCCGGTGAGTGTGCGGTCCAGGCGGCCCTTCTCTGCACTCAGCCTCACTGTGTCCTCGTGGCTGCGGAGCTTCTCCCGCTCTACCTGGGCAGGGAGAGGGGGAGGGGATTAGGGTACTGAGGGGAAAGAAGGGGCTCCCAGACAGGGTCCAGAGTTCCTAACCCCAGTGGAATAACAACATCAACAGAGGCAGCAGAACCCCCGATGTGCAGCCAGGATCCCCGATGGTTAAGCCCAGAGGAAGTGAGGGCAGGGCCCAGGGGGAGACCCACTTTGTCCAGAGTCCTCCTGAGGGCCTGGCGGTCCTTTTCCAGCCGCAGGGCGGAGCGCTCCACCTCTCGCTTCTCGGCTTCCAGCTGAGCCAGGGCCCGCTGCAGGCTGCCCAGACGCTCCTGCAGGAGCCGCCGCTCGTCCCGCAGCTTCTGGATGGAGCGCAGAGCCACCGCCTCGCTCTCCTGCCGCTGCCGCAGCACCTGCAGCAGAAGCCAGGCAGGTCCCTAACCCCTCTGAGCCTCAGTGTATCCATGTGAAGCTTGGGGATGAAGATGCTGGCCCTCCATGCCCACTCACTCGCCAGGCTGTTGTGAGGCCCACATCAGAGAACTGTCTCCTGAGGCCACACAGTACTCCTCCCTGGGCCTCAGTTTCTCCATCTGGATAATAGGGGTGTGGACTGAATGAACCATGCTCCTCACAGGAGGCTAGGCCAGGGTTTGGGATAAGGTGGAGATGGGTGGGAAGGTCCCACCCTATCCCGAGGGCTTGACAGTCCTGAGGACAGAGTGGGCCCACCTGGCTCTCACCTCCTGCAGCTGCTGAAGCTGGCCCTTGGCCTCCGCCCGCTGCAGCTCCAGGTCTGCCAGTTCACCCCGCATCGTCTGCACCTGCTCGCCCAGGGAGCTGCTCTGCTTCCGTGCCTCAGACAACGCCTGCCGGGCAGCATCCAGCCGTTCCTGGGGGACAGGGGTAGTCAACACACTGGGAAAGTGAACTATACAGCAAGCCTGGCCCAAAGCCTCCCACTCAGACCCCAACTCTCCCGTTAACTCTGCACCGGGGTCCCCCCAGTCCTATACTAGTAGGCACGTTATCTTATTGGCTCACCTCCCCGGAGCCTTCTCTTATTGATGGATACTCTACTGGGCCCACCTCTCCCTCAAAGTCACCTCTCATTGACTTGCTCCTCTGGGTTCCCAACTGGCTGCCCCACTGGCTGGCTCTTTTCCAGGCCCCTCCGAGCCTGCTCTTACAGGCTGACTCTCACTGGATCCACCTCCAGGCAGACCCTGGAACCCCATACCTGGAGCACTTGGCGGTCGTGTTCACAGGCAGTCAGGGCCTTCTGCAGGCGCAGATTCTTGTCCTGGGTACTGGTGAGGCTGGCACGGCTCTGAGTCAGGGCCTCTGTCAGGCCCTGCACCTTGTCCCGCAGGGTGCCCTCAGTCTCCTCCACCTTGGCCAGGGCCCCGCTCAGCCGCTCCACTGTCAGCTGCAGGGTTCCTGCCTTCACCTCGCTGTCTGCCACCTGGCAGGACAGACAGGACAGTCAGGGGCTCTGTTCCTGTCTGGCCTCTATACCTCTGCTCCCACTGTGACCTCTACCAGGTGTGCCTAACCCAAGCCCTTCTCACCTCGCTCTGGGCCTCCATCATTGAGACCCATTGGCTCAGCCTACTGCAACCTGGGCCTGTCCCACTGGTGGTTAACTTCCCTTGTCCAGAGCACCATCAAACTGGTTGCCTCAGACCCTCTGGTCTCCTCCCTGTCCTCATTCCCCTCTCCTCCCTGCTACGGAAGAGAAAGGATGACACCACAACCTGACATTTTCTGGTTTTGATTTTGAAAGGTGTCCGTGCACAGCCAGAATAGTTACTGAACATTCCAGTTAGGCCTGAGCTTCCTAGCAGCCAAGGCACAATGGGAAATGAGAAAAATCTACATCTCTAACTTGTCCCACACGTCTCTTTCTTCAAACAGTCCTGAATTCTAATTTTTTTTTTGCTGGCTGGTACAGGGATCAAACCCAGGACCTCAGTGGTAGCAGCACTGCACTATAATTAGCTGAACTAACCAGCCAGCACTTGAATTCTAATTTTGGCTCCGCCTCTTATTAGCTATGTGGTCTTGGGCAATGACATCACTTCTCTGAGCCTCCATTTGTCCATCCATGAAATGGGGATGACAATAATCCGTGTTACTCACAGGGTTGGGGGGACTGCATAGTCCCTGTAATGCACTTAGCACAGGGCATGCAGATGATGTGGCTGTGAGTCGGGGAGGGGCCCACCTGTCTCTGCAGGGAGTCCACCCGATCCTGCAGGGCCTGCGCCTGGGCCTCGCGGTCACTCAGGCCCAGGCGGCTGCGCTGCAGTTCCCCCTCCAGCGAGCGCCGCTGCAGCTCCAGCTTGATGGTGCGGCTCTCACAGGCATCCAGCACCTCCTTCAGGCGCCGCTTGTCGCTCTCCAGCTTCACCTCATTGGCCTTCATTTTGCTGATCTTCTCCTGCAGGTGGGGGAGGGCTCAGGCCCAGATGTCCAGTCTGCCCCACACCCCTCTCCCAAATCCCTCAGACCCTTAGGAGAATGTAGGGAGCAGCCTGGAAGGGGCTGGCCCAGCCACTCCCTGTGTGACCTGGGACCAGGCCGTGACCTTCTGGGGGCCTCAGTCTCCCCACGTGTTCACAGGATGAGTGATGTGAGGATCCCAGACCACCTTCCAGTTTTGGCTGAGTCTAATGGGCTATGTGACCCAGGACTATCCCTTCCCGTTCTCTAGCCCTATCTCACATCTGTAGAGTGGGGGGACTGGATTGGTCCGGGGCTACCACAACCTAGTTGCTCCTAAGAGCCCTGGAGAGGGGCTGTAAAAATGCAGATTCCAGGGCCCTTCCCCTGCTCCAGAGGCAGGCCCAGAAGCTGCATGTGTAACCTGAGCTGAGCTGGGTAGCTGTGTGGGTCCTACTGTTCCAGAGTTTTAAGGGATGATTGTCCTCCGTCCCCTGTGTGGGGGTCAGAGAGTGAAGGAGGCTTGGGAAGTGGGGATAGGACAAGAAAACACGAGGGGTCCTTCAATGAATGTTACTATCCTGCAGACAGGATGGGTCAAGGGGTATGTTATTACAGCCTCCCCACCCCCACCCCAGGCCTGGCCCCTCCCCTGCACTGCTCGGAGCCCCAACCCTACCCTGTCTGGGCCCAGAGGCCCCCACTCTGGCTCCTGCCCAGCTTTGTTCCTGGCCTCCTCCCGCAGTCCCTGTGGCTGGGCCCAAGGCCAGAGCTGAAGCTACAGACACAACAATCCAGCTCGAGTTCGGCCCGGAGCCAGAGGCAGGCAGTGGGCTGTCGGGGTAGGAACTGGAGGGCCAGGGAAGGAAAGGGTGACAGAGGAAGGGAATCTTTGGCTGTAAGAAGGCTCAAGGCTTCAGCAGCCCAGACTGTCACCACCAGGGCCTGGGCTTCCTGCCCCAGACAGACAGACACAGGTATTCACAGATGTCCCCCAAAACACACATAAAAAATCCAGAACACCACACGTGGTTATATAGACACACAAAACAGAGAGAAGAAAACAGAGGCCCCCTGAGCACCACCTGTGTGCGAACCATTTCTGTGCCTCACGTCTGTGAGGCAATTATTGCTCTTGCCTTTTACAGACGAGGAAAATGAGACACAGACCATAGAGTGGCCCAAGGCCAACAAGCAGGACTTGCACCCAGGTCTGTCAGGCTCAAAGGCCCAAGTTCTTTTTTCTACAGCCTAGCGACCTCAACAGGGAATGCAAGGATAAAATCTGAACATGCTTTTGTAGAGTCACAGGCTGGTCACTCCAGTGGGCTGCAGAGTGACTCCAGCAGACAGAGAAACCCACGGGAGGACTTAGACATCCGCTCAAGTATACACAGATTCCCCTCAGCCTAGCGACCTCAACAGGGAATGCAAGGATAAAATCTGAACATGCTTTTGTAGAGTCACAGGCTGGTCACTCCAGCGGGCTGCAGAGTGACTCTAGCAGACAGAGAAACCCACGGGAGGACTTAGACATCCGCTCAAGTATACACAGATTCCCCTCACCCCCGCTGACCCTATGCTCCTGCCCACCTGGCTGTCCCGGAGCTCGCTCTTGGTGGCCTGCAAGCTCCTCTCCAGTGCAGCCACCTGGTCCAGCATGGCCCGGCGCTCCCGCTCGCTGCGCCGCACGCTCTCCTCCTGCAGTGCCAGCTCTGCCTGGACCCCGCTCAGCCGCCCATCCACACTGCGCCGGGCTGAGGCCACCATCCCGCCCATCAGACAGGGCCAGGCACAGCCCCAAAACCTGAACCAGGCCACAAAATGCCCGGCCTGCACTCCACCCACCGCAGGGCTTGCCTATCTGCACCCTTGAGGGTGTACAGGTCTGGACATGTGTAAGGCTGACCAGGGAGGGTCCCCTGGGGGAGACAGCCCTCAGTCAAGTCACAGGGCTGCTCAGAGCATAAGAGCAGAGCGGAGACCCCGAGAGTCAAACTCACCTTCCTCACTCTCGGCCACTGTCTTCTGCAGCTGCCTGGCCCGTGAGGTCACGCTGTCCCTCTCGGCCTCCATCTCAGCCAGCTGGCGACTCAAGGCACTTGTCTGGGTCCGAAGCTCATCCTGCAGCCCCAATGTGGGGGGAAAGGGGAAGACCCCTGTTCTGACACCCTGTGGCCCCTCCAGGACACTCGGCCATCCGGTTCCCTATCCAGCCACACACCCAGCCTTACCCGTTCCCTCTGGGTGCTCCGCAGCTCCTGCAGGAATTCCCGGAGGGCCCCCCGCACTGCCTCTGGGTCCAGGTCTGGATGCACAGGGGAGGTGGTAGGTCCTGGGGATGGTGGCTGGGACCCAGGGCTGCGTTCTAAGGGGCTAGGGCTGCTAAGCCCCTCCCCGCTTCCTGGAAGAGAAGATATGCTCAGGGATGCAGGAGCCATGACCTCTCCTGTCTGCACAGATGGGAGGGGGCAGGGCAGACAGACAGGCAGCACCTGGGGGTCAGCATCAGAACTCCAGGACAGGGTCCTGCCATTAGCATCCTCCTGACTCACCAAGTGACACCTAACTTCACGCAGACAGGAGCTTGGTCACCACTCAAAGATACCCAAAGGGTAAGGACCTCCATTCCCTGCCCTGGAAGATCCCATCCCTTAGGTTAAAAGCCAGAGCCCTTGTAGTGGCCTGCAAGGACTACTTGCACAAGCCCTTTGTCCCCACATCCTCATCTCCTCGCTTGCTACACTCTGTGCTGCTCTGTTGCCCCTGCTGTTCACAGGACGGGGGTACTTCCACTCTGAACCTTTCCACTTGTCCCAGAGTCTCTTCCCCCAGGTGCTCCCTCAACAACCTCACTCTTCCATTACCTATCACCTCTTCAGTGAGGCTCTCCCTGTCCCCCTGCCCTTTATCTTAAAACATTCTTTATTGTGACAAGATATATAACATAAAAATGGTTAAAATGGCACATTTTATAAGTGTACAATTTAGTGGCATGAATTACATTCACACTGTTGTGCAACCATCATCACTATCTGTTCCCAAATCATCATAACCCTGTTATGTATTGAACTGTATTCCCCAAAACTGTTTTTTGGCGGCTGGCCAATAAGGGGATCGAACCCTTGACTTTGGTTTTACGAGCACCATGCTCTCCCAAGTGTCCCGTAAAACCTCATGTTGAATTCCTAACCCCCAGTATCTTATAATATGACCTTATTTGTAAATAGGGTTGCTGTAAATGTAATTAGTTAAGATGAGGTCGTGCTGAAATGGGGGGACCCTGATCCAATATGATGGATATCTTTATAAAAGCAGGAAATTTAGACACAAAAACACACACAAGGAGAAGGCCATGTAGTGACTGGAGTTATGCTGCCATAAGCCAAGGAACAACTATAGCCAGGAGGCCTGGAACAGATCCTTCCCATGCCTTCAGAGGGAGCACGTCCCTGCAGACAACTTGATGTCCAACTTCTAGCCTCCAGAACCATGAGACATAAATTTATGTGGATTAAGCTGCTCAATTTATAATCTCTGTCACAGCAGCCCCGGCAAATAAGACAACACCAAACCGAAACTCTGTAGCTATAAGGCAATCACCCAGTTCTCCCCTCCCCCCCAGCCCCTGGTAACATCTACCTTCTGTCTGTCTATACACACTTGTCTATTCTAGATATTTCACATAAGTGGAATCATACTATACTTATCCTTTTGCAACTGACTTATTTCACTTAGCATAATGTTGTAAGGTTTATCCAGGTTGTAGCATGTATCAGACTCGTTCCTTTTTAAGGCCGGATAATATTCCGCCGTATGTATATACCTCATTTTGTTTATCCATTCACCTGTTGATGGACATTTGGGTTGTTTCCACCTTGGGCTATTGTGGAATAATGCTGCTATGAACACTGGTGTACAAATATCTATCCCAGTTTTGTTTTCAATTCTTTTGGATATATCCTTAGGAGTGGAATTGGTGGGTCGTATGGTAACTCTATTTTCAACTCTTTAAGGAACTACCAAACTATTTTCCAGTGTCTGCACCATTTTACATTCCCACCAGCAATATTTCTTGCTTAATTTATTTTTTTGCAGCTGGCCGGTATGGGGATATGAACCCATGACCTTGGTGTTATAAGGCTGCGCTCTAACCACCTGAGCTAACCAGCCAGCCCCTTGCCTTATTTTTTCTTATCTATTTTCCAGCCCTTACCAACACATTGTGTTTTTATATATCACGTTTATTGACTATAACTTATTTATCACGTTTGTTGTCTGCTACTCCCAGGCCTGGACGCTAAGCTCTGTAACAGCAGAAGTGCTTGTCATTTTTGTTTACTGATCCACCCCCAGTGTTTACACTGTATTTGGCACACAGTAGGTGCTCAGTAAGTATTTTTTTTTTTTGTCTTTTGTCTTTTTTCCGTGTCCGGCAACGGATCGCAACCCTCAAGTGCTTGTCATTTTTGTTTACTGATCCACCCCCAGTGTTTACACTGTATTTGGCACACAGTAGGTGCTCAATAAGTATTTTTTTTTTTGTCTTTTGTCTTTTTTCCGTGTCCGGCAACGGATCGCAACCCTCAGTGTTGCCCCCGTACCGGACCAGGGACCGGCAACGGGATCGCAACCCTCGGTGTTGCTCCCGTGCCCCGCTCAGCCAGTGAGCGGGAACCGGTCCGTATGTGGGATCCGAACCCTCGGACGGGAGCGCCGCCGCGCTTCCCAAGCGGCGCACTATTCAGTGCGCCACCGGGCCGGCCCATCAATAAGTATTAAGTGACTGAACGAATGTGACCCTGGAAGAGGTCTGTCTATGTGTCTGGGGAAGATGTCCAGTCCCAGGCATGGTGGAGGGGTGTGGAGCTGGGGATGGGAGGCTGAGGAGGATGGGGTCCTGGTGGAGAGAAGACAGGGGTCCATTAGGAGGACAGGGCCTCAAAGACTCGTAAAAGGAGTTGGGGTATCAGAATCCACCCCACTAAAAAGAAGCGGTCCCAGAGACGGCGTGGACCAGTGAGGTCGAGGGGCCTCGGCAAGGGGGCGGGGCTAGGGAGGGGTCAACAAGGGGCGTGGCCAAGAGGGCGGGCTCTTAGAAAAAGTGTCGCGAGGCGGTGCCGAGGGGCGGGGCCCCCACGAGACCCCGACCCAGGCCGAGGCCCCGGCGCAGGGCCGAGCGCAGGCCGCCCAGCTGGACCTCGGCCGCGCGCCGCTGCGCCTCCACGCGGGCCAGCTCGGCCTCGAGACCTTGCGCCCGACCCTCGGCCGCGCTCAGCCGCAGCCCCAGCTCCGCAGCCTCGGCCCGTGCCGCCTCCAGCTTCAGCTCCTGGCCGCGGGTGTGGTCCAGCTGCTGCTTCTCGGCGCCGCGCGCCTCCTCCAGGGAGCCCAGCAGGCCTCGCTCGCGGGCCCGGAACTCGCTCTCTTGCTCCAGCAGCTTTCGCTGGGCTCCCTGGAGCTGGGGCGGGGGCGAAGCCAGGAGGTGGGGGTCAGCACGGCTGCCCCCAACCCGACGCCCCGCCTCCCAGGCCCTGGCTGGGGACCACCACCCCAAGTGGCTGCATCCCACCGCCCCAACAGCACAGCACCTGCTGCTTTCGTGCTCTCCACCCAAGCAGGCAGTGCATGAACATCCACGGAGTGCGGGGGGAGGTTACTAAATTTGTTTTGTCTCCTGTGTATAAGCCTTGTAATGTACACAGTTTATTAGAAGTAACAGCTGGGGCTGGCCGGTTAGCTCACTTGGGAGAGCGTGGTGCTGACACCACCCAAGGTCAAGGGTTTGGATCCCCATATCGGCCAGCCACCGAAACAAAAAAAAGTAATAGTAGCTAACATTTACACAGATAGGACTAAGTACTTTCCAAAAAAAATTAATTACTACTGTATGAATCAGCCCCATTCTACAGATGATAGAATTGAGGCACAGAGTAGTTAAGTAATTTGCCCAAGGCCACACAGCTACTAAGCTGCAGAGCTGAGATTCAAAGCCAGGCACTCTAGCTCCAGAGGTTATTCTCTTAACCACTAGACTACACTGCCTCTCAGTGCACATAATTTATCAATAAATCTACATACAATGGGGGCACATACTAAAAAATTATTTACTGATGGGATACATGGTCACAAACATACAAAACCCTCTGGTTTGGAGGATAAGTCAACATCATGGTCATCAGTGGAAACACCACCTACTGAGTACCACCCAGATGCCAGGACCTGTGGTGGGCCCCTTCATACAGCGTCTGCTGTGCTAGCCCCTCTCCCGCTAGTGCTCTGAAACACAGAGTGATTAAGTGACTCCGTCAAGGCCACACAGCAGATTCACGGCAGTGAAACAGCCAGAAAAGGCAGAGAGGAAAGAGTGCAGGCTTTGGAGGCAGACCTGGGTAGTTATGTGACTTTGGGTAGATCCCTTGGTCTCTCTGAGCCTCAGTGCCTTGGTCCTGTCTGTAAAATGAGGCTGATGGACCTACCTCATGGGGCTACTGGGAGAATCAAACAAGGTTGTGTCTACAGAGCCTTCCCGCCCTTATCCCTCCCCCCATATTGTTCCTGCACCATGGTTCTTTAGGTTGTTGTTCTTATAACTGGGGAAGAGTCTAAAGAAGTGGGGGACAGGAAAAGTCCCAGCGAGTGGTCTCTCAGAATGACTCCAGCACTGGAGTGCCCACCTGCTTCCCCTTAGAGGGAGGACAGGGCAGCTGACCTACCCCTAGAACCCTCCCCTTCCAGGCAGCCCAGCCACCTGCCCAGTTACCTCCTGCCGCATGGCTTCCAGGCTGGCCTCGCCCTTCAGAAGCCTCTGCCGGAGGCCCAGAGCCTCCCTCCGGCTCTCCTTCTCTGCCCGCTCGCCCAGCGCCAGGCGGCCCTGCAGCTCTGCCAGCTCCCGGCCCAGCCTGGCGTTCTCACTGTCCAGCATCTTCATCTGTAAGAGAGAGCAGGAACAGCAGCTGGTTCAGCTCTGCCCCTACACCCTGCCCAGTTCTGGCTCCAGGGTCACTCAGGACCCATTGCTCTAGGGATGTATGCATCAAGTACCACCCCAAATCTGGGAGTACTGGGAGCCTGCCCTAGATGACCATGCTGAGCTCGAGCCATGTCCAGCAACTGGGCACCAATGGCCTGTTTACCATTTAAGCAATGGGCTCAAAACTACCTTTCATAGGGGACAGGAGGGCCAAGCCCCTATCAGACCAGGAGTTCCACAGAGCAAGAATCACAGCTCCCTGGGTCACCTTACCTCCACAATGATGATGAACTTTTTTTTTTTTTTTTAAAGATGACCAGTAAGGGGATCTTTACCCTTGACTTGGTGTTGTCAGCACCACGCTCAGCCAGTGAGCTAACCGGCCATCCCTATACAGGGATCCGAACCCATGGCCTTGGTGTTATCAGCACTGCACTCTCCCGAGTGAGCCACAGGCCGGCCCATGATGATGAACTTTTTTGGAGTGCTTACCACGTGTCTGGCCCTGTTCTAAGCACTTCATTTATATTAACTCATTTCATCTTCATACAACCGTATATGGTGTAGGTACTAACATTATCCCTATTTAACAAATAAGAAAACTGAGGCTCAGAGAGTTGAAGTGACTTGCCCAAGGTCACACAGCCCACAAGTAGCAGACTGGGATTCATTCCGAGACAAGTGGAATGCCAAAGTTTGTTCTAAGCCGCTATTTCCCCCCAGGAGCAGGTGGGGGGTGAGGCCTACCTACTGCACAGTGCTATCGTGAGGGTAACACGGGATCACGCTGTAGCATGCACAGTGGCCAGCAAGAGCCTGGCGCACAAATGTCCATTAGTTTCGGGGACTCCTGTGATTTCTCAGGAAGGGGCCTGGGTGGAGGGGGCTGTGGTGAGAGGTGGAGAGAATTTGTTTTTCAGGCTGTCGTATCTCTGGGTATCAGAGTGTCTCTGGATATCAGATTGTGATATCTCTGGATTCGGCAGAGCCAAGGAGCCAAATGAGGCCTTTTCCTATTCTTCGAGTCTTGTAGAGTGGGAAAGCCTGAGTCCACAGTGTCCAGGGCAGTGCCCAGGACACGGCAGGCATTTGCTCAATGCTCGCTGCCATTGGTGAGTCCACAGACCGTCTAGTTCAGGGGTCAGCAAACTACAGGTGGTACACCACATGCAGCCAGTCTCCTGATTCTGTAAGGGTGTGAGCTGAGGATGGTTTTTACATTTTTAAATAGTTGACAATGATTCATTTCTAAATGGTTGAAAAAACATCAAAAGAAGATCAATATTTGACTCACAAAAATTACATGAAATTTAAACTGCTGTGTCTATAAACAGTTTGACTGGAGCCCACGTGCACTTGTCCACACGCTGTCTAGGGCTGCTTTCTCACTATGACAGCAGAGTTGAGTAGTTGCAACAGAGACCATATGGCCTGTAAAGCTGGAAATGTTTACCATTTGGCTCTTTACCAAAAAAGTTTGCCAGCCCCTGATCTAGTTCACAGAACCTGCACCTTTTGCCTTTCACAGATTTCTTTGAGAACTGGACAAGAGCTCCAGCTCCTCTCCTTGGAGAAATGTGAGCCCGAATGTGTATACAAATGGCCACAGGCTTTTGCACAGGTTCAGGGGTTTAAGAGTCCTCAAAACCCATCCATTAATACCAAGGTTAGGTAAGAAGACTTGTGATGCTGCAAGCCCCTGGTTTTACATATAGGGGAACTCAACTCCAGAAGGGGGTGCTATTGGCCTGGGGCACACAAGCCGCAGGGGAGGGGGTGGCAGAGGAAGGGTACCTGCCGCCGGAGCTCCTGCAGCTCCCGTCGAGCCTCCAGCCGTGAGCGCTCCACCTCCTGCAGCCCAGCCCGCAGCTCCCCGGCTTCCTTGCCCACAGCTGCGCGGGCATCCTCTAGGAGTGCCAGCTTCTGCTCCTTGTCCTCATTGGCAAGCTTCAGGCTGGAGAGGGCAGAGGTCAGAGGCTGCCCTGGGACCTGGGAAGAGTCCACTCTGCAGCTCTACACAGAAGTCCCCTCCCCTGATTCCTGGAGTGGATCCAGCCAGCTCTTGGCCTAGAGGTGCCCCATGTCCTGCCTGCCCACATGGCTCCAACTGAGCTGAGCCCTCCAGGGTTGGGGACCAAGGTCTTGGCCAGGAGAGGTAGACCAGTGACTCCAGAAGGGGATCTGGTTTCCAGGGTGATGACAGAAGGTGGGGTCCATGTCTGGACTCAACCCCGCCTGCTGCCAACCTTCTCTCTTTCTACAGGGAGGAAAATCACCTAAAATGCTTCATGTGTGGTTAGGGAACACAAATCCCCATCCATGTGATTTGCCTAGAGCTTTGGGGGTAAAGTTAGGTTCCAGCACAAGATTCAGTGAGAAGGATGGGCTGGATGAAGGAGTCGGGATGGTCCCTGAGTCGCCCCACCTGATGCGCTCGCTCTCAGCCTTCTTCACGGCGGCCCGCAGCTCCTCGTTGGAGCGCCGCAGGGCCTCACGCTCCTTGGCGCCCTCACTCAGGCTGCGCCGCAGGTCGCCGGCCTCCTGGCGCTGGGCCTCGCAGCCCTCCTGGCTCTCACGCAGCCGGCGCTGAGCCTCCAGCAGCTCCCGCCGCAGCCCGTCACGGGCGTCCTCCAGCAGGCGCAGCTGAGTCCGAAGCTCCTCTGCCTGTGAGCATGGTGGTGTCCACAGGGCAGGGCTCAGGGCCCCCCTCAGGCAGTGTTGGCAGGAACGGGCCCATACCCCACATCCTTGGCCACGGCACACCTGCCCCAACCATCTGGAGTGACTTGGACCGCAAGCTGTGAGTTAGCACTTGGGGTAAGGCATGCTGGAGTCAGCAGTGTTTTGGCCTGACCTAATCATCAATCAGGATCATTTTGTGGATGACATCCAGAGGACAGGACTTCACTCACCGGTCCTCGAGTCCCTAGGTCCCACTTGTACATAACAAGTATTTAATAAATGCTTGCTGCCTCCTAAGTTGGCCGTTATTTGTCCTCAAATGCAAGGAGGAATCCTACTCTCTCTGGGGCCCCTCAGGGCTAGGACCCCGGCAGGCACACAGTGGCATTTAGCGTGTGCTGCTGGAAGACGTGAGTGGCTGGCTCACCTCGCGCAGGCAGGATTCCCGCTGCTTGCCCAGGTCCTGGGCCTGCTCCTGCAGCCTCTTCACCTCTTGGGCATGGGCCACAGCACCCTCTTCAAGCTGGGCACGTAGGTCCCGCAGCTCGGACGTCAGGGTGTTCACAGTGCTCTGGGATAGGTGGCCTCCTCAGACTTGGTCCTGCTGGGCCCCACCAGGTCCCCTGCTGCTCCCAACACTCTGGCTGAACTGTCCACTGTCTGTTCCAAACAGAGCCCCTCCCCCTGTCCTGCTAGATGCTCTGCTGATCCTCCAATGCCTAGTGAGTGTCGTCCAAGCAGCTGGTCCCTCCCTCAGACTAGAGGATTCACCAGGGCAGAGCTGTGCCACCTCCCTCAGATAGGGACTCCCAATGGGCAGGGCCTGGGGACTTCCCAGGCAGGGTTATACCTCCCGTCTCAGATGGAGGCTCAGCTGCCCAGACTGCCCTACCCGGTCTTGCTCCTGCCGGCTCTGAGCATCTCGTTTCTGCCGCTCCATCTCCAGGGAGATAGCGGCCAGGCTGTGCTGTGTACCCATCAGCTTCTCTGACAGCGCTGTCTTCTCAGATTCCTTCAGGGACAAGGCCTGGGCAGAGGCAGGAACAAAGGGCTTGGAGGGGGTTGGTTGGTCCTAGGGGCATGCTCAAGCTTTTCCCTGGCCATTGGGGGCTCGGCAGCCTCAGTGGGCATGCTCATTCCCTCTTCAGACCTGGAAAAAGGGCACGATGACAGTAACAATGACCCTGGACATGGACACAATTTATAGATCTCACTAACTTGCACAACAACCCTGAAACAGAGTCTTTCGTTATTTCCATTTTACATATGTGAAAACTGAGGCTCAAAGAGGTAAAGTGACTTGCCCAGGGTGACACAGTGATGAGGAGAGGATATGGACATGGTCTTCCCTGTCTCCATTATACTATGGGAATGTGAGGAATTAGTTCTTTTGGGCGAGGGGCAGCTGATGTCTGTGGGCACAGTGGGGACTGCACAGAAGGCCATCACAAGGATGCCATGCCCAGCCCAGACTGGGATGAGGATGGGAGAATGTGGGACAGATTTCCTGGTGTCCTGACTGGCACTACCACTCGGCAAGCTCCCACTGTGTGCCAGGCATGGGGCTCAGCGATGTTTCACATAAACCCCTAAGTTCCCCCACCCTGCAGGTGAGAAAACTGAGGCCAGAGAGGGAAGAAGCCTGTCCCAGGGCTTCTAGCTTCAGGGTGGCCAAGCAGGGAAGAGACCCAGAATGGGCGCCCGTGGGCCACACAGAGGCCACAGCAGGACTCACAGACCTGCTGCTTCTCACTCTCAGCCAGGAGGAGGCCCTCGTCACGCTCCTGCTGCAGGGCAGCAATCTCCTCGCTCAGCTCTTCCTTCTCGGCTTCCAGGCGGGCCAGCAGCTCCTCCCGCTCCCGCTGCAGCTGACTCTGCAGCTGGGCCCGCTCTGCCTCCAGCTCCCGCCATGCAGCCTCCTGGGGGACCAGGTCCAGCCACGTGTGACCTCAGGCTAGGCCCAGGCAGCCCCTCTCAAACCTCAGGGCAGTAAGGGTGTCTGTACCCTGAGAGACAGGATGGGCAACCAGGAAACTATGGGTAGGAATGATAAGGGTTGTGATGGGGACACACCAGGGCTGTGAAAGCCCCAAGGAACAGCCTGGACTGGCCTGAGGGCTCAGAGAACATTCCCCGGAGGAGGGACGAGCAGCCATCAGCCAGGAAAGGAAAGAAAAGAAAGAGAACCCCAGGCCAAGAGTACAGCCCCTGAAAAGCCCTGGAGGAAGAGAAAACAGGATGCATAGGGAAACTGAGGGGACACAGTGAGTGATGGGGCCAGAGCCACAGGCTGCAGCCAGGCCAAGCTGGGTGTGTGGGCTGAGGGGATTCTGAGGAGGTGGGGTAATGGGGAGTGCTCGAGCCAAGGTGACAATCTGATTTAGATTAGGGGGTTGTTCAGAGAGAAGAGTACAGATTTGGGGACATTAATGAGTCTGAGCCAGGTGGTGCAAGGGGCAAGAGGGGTAAGGGGAGTCATAGGAGTTTGGCTCCCTGGGAACTGGCGGGGGGTAGAGCCTCCAGGGAAAGAACAGCCCACTCACTCGGGGCACCCCTAGCAACTTTGTGAAAGGCAGACAGAAGTGCCCCTGCCTCAAATGCTTCACTGCCACCTGCTGGAGAAGTGTGATAATAACTACCCAAACACATGGAGACTACAGTGTGAATGGCGTCCCTGGAGTCATGCAGCAACAGCCTGTCCCAGGCAGCCCTGTTCAGGGTGGGCGGCTCAGGGCCCCCGTCCTTAGGGCCACTCTGGAGAGTATCCCAGTACCAGTAATAATAACTTATGGAGCATTTACTAATAGTCACTATCTCACCTCATCCTCACAATACCTTAAACTATCCTATCCTCATTTCTACAGATGGGGACATAAAGGCACAGAGACCTTAGGAGGCATCACCAATATGTGACCAAGATCAAATTCAAACCCAGCAATATAATTCCAAGCCAGTGTTTTAATAACCTCCCTGGCCCCTTGCCTTTCTTATATGCTCAGGTCTCAGAGTGATCCTGGATATGCAGATAGGACCTTAGCAGATGGAAGTGCTTTTCTGCTATATATTAGGTCAGCCTTTCTCAAATGTGCCTGTGGACTCTCTGCATCAAGGATCACCAGGCCTGCACACCACGGCTAGGACTGGGAATTTGCATGTTTGATAAGGACCCCTCCCTCCATGGACCCTCTCAGCTGCCCCCGTGGCTTCCACACCAGAGATAAAGTCCCATTTCACAGATGTGGAGACCAGGCAGAGCAAGAAGGATGACTCGCCTGAGGTCACAGAGGAGACAGTGGCTCTGAGCCCTGCCCACCCCTACCCTGCCGCCCGACCTTCTCACGCTGGAGTCGCTGCAAATCCTCCTCATGGGCTGCCCGTTGCTCCCGCAGAGAGGCCTGGGCCTCCCGCTCAGCCTGCACCAGCTTCTGGGCCATCAGCTCCTTGTCCAGAGCCGCTTTTTCTTCTGTAGTTATCATCTGCTGCCGCAGGCCCATCAGCTCCCCTGCACCAGAGGGAGAGGAGTTGGATCGAAACTTCCCCTTGGGCCAGGACTCAGGCCAGGTGAGCCATGTGGGCAAAATCCCAGAGGGGAAAGGGTCCACCTGGCATCTAGCTGGGTTCCCTTGGAGAAGTGGCTTGCCTTCTCTGGGCCTCAGTTTCCCCATCTGCTGCAAGAGCCCTGTCTACCTCTCTGCTTACCTAGAATGGCATCAAAGGGATAAAATTACTGACAAGAAGGGCCTCCCAAATGGGAAAAATATTTAAAAATATAACAATCTCTAAATATAACAACTCAGTCAGTACTTAGTGCTGACTGCGGGTCAAGCACCTGACTAAGTACTCTACAGACATAGTTTCATTTCGTCTTCGTAACATTTCTAGTTTATCCTCATCAATGGAGACTCAGAGGAGATCAGGAATGTCCCAAAGCTGCCCAGCTTTACATAAAGCATCTCCCTTAATGGCTGATTGGCATCAACATACTTGGTCAAGTGTAACTGTCAGCACTAAAGGAGGTGTCTGTAGGGAAGGTTCGCCCCACCATGGACCATGTAGGAACCATTTCCTGAGTGGGAAACCCACCAGCATTTCCCCTTCTGGTTCTCTCTGGCTCAGTGGACGTAGAAAGGAAAATTAATTTCCACAACCCAAGCAGGTGCTTAGTTAACATTTGATGAGTTCAGAGACTGGGTGGGGAACATGCAGGAAAGTGGGGCTGGGATTGTGGAGCCAAGAGAGTCAGCTGGTGCCTCTGCAGAGAGCTGGGAACCCTCTAACTGCCCTGATGACGAATAAACAGCAGCCACTATTGATGGAGCCCAGCACTATGCCAAGGGCTTCACATGCTTTTCTCACTCGGCTGAGAAGGCGGGCATTATCACCTCTATCAGATGAGGAATCCGCAGCCCAGATAGGCAAGGAAGGGGCTTGCTCGAGGGAAGCTCAGTTCTAAGTGGCAGCACAGGGATGGAACCCAGGCCAGCCGGACTCCTAAGACAGTGCTCCAAACTTCTGTGAGACCCCAGAAGAACAGGTGGCAGTTTGGGCCTGGTGATCCCCCCCAGCCCCCAGCCCTTTGTACCAGTCAGGGTCTCCTTGGCCAGCAACAGGGCCTGCCCATCAGCTTCCAGCTGCTCCCGGCGGGCCTCAAGCTGGGCCAGCTGCCGCTGCACCTCAAACAGGTTGCTCTCCAGGGTTTCCTTCTCCAAGCTGCAGTACACATTGTCCCTAAGGCCTTGGGACTCAGCCTCCCCGGCCCCAGGAATCTGTGGCTTTCAGGGTGTGGCCAGCCATGGGCTGAGTGCCAGCCTACCTGCCTGACCAGGCCCACACTCCCTGGGGAAGGCAGAGCCATAGCCAGGATCTGTTGGCAAGCCAGGCTCCTAAGTAACTGCCCCTGTGGACCAATGCCAGGGCATGGCTGGTCATGGTGTGGCCCCAGGAGGACCCCCCCACCTAGGATGGGCTGGGCAGAGCCCAGGGCCTTACCGCAGGCGTGTGGCCTCCTCTGACAGGGCCCGGCCTTCACGCTCTGCTGCCACCAGCTGCACAGCCAGGCCAGCCCGTTCCTTGGCCAGCGCCTCTTTCTCCCGGGCCGCTCGCTCCAGCGCCTCCACCTGCCGCTGTGACTCCTGTCGGACCTGCTCCAGCTCCTGTTCCCGCCCGCTCAGCTGCCGAGAGAGCTGACCCCCACCCAGGGATTGTGAGCACCACTTCCAGAATCCTCCAGCCTGTTCATCATGCAGCACGCCAACTCTTGGCCTGACCCAGCCCTGGCCTGACAGGTAGGAGACCTGGGTTCGAGCCCAGGCTCTGCCCTGATTTGCTGTATGTACTTGGGCAAATCACAGCCTTTTCTAGACCTGCAATGCACATGCATGCAAAAATGAGGACCCTCACTCAGCTCTGGGATGGGGAGATGCCCCATCTTTTTAAGACCTGTAGGAACGTGTGCCCTACAGAACAGATACTGTATAAATGTCCTTGGACCCCTGAAATCCTAAGGTCCCTTCTAGCTGTGATGTCCCAGAAAGTCTAAGATTCCAATTCTAAGTTTCCACTTACTATCATATAATTGATCTATACTGAGTGGTGACTCAGTGCCAGATCATCCTCTTCTAAGTGCTTACACAGATTTTCTCACATATTCATTAGAATAACCCTTTGTGATAACTCTCAGCCTCATGTTATAGATGGGGTGACTAAGGCATGGGGAGGTTGGGTAGCTTGTCTGAGGTCCCCAGCTAGCAGAGATGGGACTGAATTTAAGCCTACAAGCAGCCTGTGACTGACCCCAGGACAAGATGCAAGAGGCTGGGAGCCTGGGCCACTCCCCACCTGCTCCCCACCCCCCACACCTACACTCAGCCCACCTGGGCAAGCTGCTCCTGAAGCTGGCTGCGTTCTTGGCGCAGAGTGGGAAGCTGCTGCTCCAGAGCCTCCCGGGCCTGCTCTGCTGCCCGCAGGGAGCCCTCCAGACCCTGCCGCTCCACCTCCTGCTCCAGCCGCAGCTGCGCCAGTCGCTCCTGCTCCTCCAGCGCCAAGGTGGCCTCCTGCTCCGCCTGTCGCTGCCGGCCCAGCAGGGCTGCCTTTTCCTCCTCCAGCTGTGGGGTCCAGGCAGAGGTGGGGCTGAGTGAGCAGGGTCAGGGATGCCTCCTCCACCCTCCCACCCATCATAGCCAGCCCAGGGAGGCTCCCTGGGGGGTCAGGGGCACTGCCCTTGGGTGTGTGGACATGGAGGAAGGAAGAGCACAAAGGAAGGTCCACGGAGCTTCTTTTCTCTGATACCATGAGAGAGAAGACAGACAGACAAACGGAGTCAGAGACAGAGAATGACAGAGACAGAGAGGCAGGGACCAAGACAGATAGGCACAGGGTGTCGGGGGTGTGAGCAGAGGCTGGGCCTGGGGCGCCTCAGTGGGGTCTCGCTGAGAGGGGAGGACAGGTGGGCTAGGCAGGTGACCTGCTAGCAGGTGGCTTACCTGGGCAACAAGGCAGTTCAGCCCCAGCTTGTCCTGAGCGAGGCTCTCGTTGAGGGCGCTCAGCTTGGACAAGGAGTCCCGCAGAGAGGCTTCCTCTACCCTCAGCTTGGTGGTGGAGAGCTCAAGCTCCACACGGCTGGCCTCAGCCTGCAAGGTCAGGACCAGGGCGTCAGGGAAAGGTGGGGCGAGATGGGAAGCGGCAGGAGGGTGGGGATGGAGAGACACAGGAAGAGACATGAGAGATAGACCCTCGGAGATGGGGTAGGGGAGACGACGAGGGACACACAACATGAGACAGAAGAAAAATCGCTATAGGCGAAAACATACCTGATGTTTATGATGCTATTTAAAAGAAGCCACACATCACAGAGCTGTGCAAGAACCCATGAACCCAGCTCATGCTGCAGGGCAAGGCCAGAGGGCAGAGGGTCCCACACCTGCTCCCCCAGTAGGGTCTAGGGGTGATATTGCTTAGGGCCCAGGCTGCAGGGAGTGGGGCAGGTACCCGCCTAGGACTCTCCAGACTGTGGTCCCAACTCTCCCAGACTCCTAGACCTGTGTCCAGAGATGAGATTGGATGCCCTGAGCTATAGGCACTACCCCCAGAAGCAGCTGGAAAAGGAGCGATATGGCCACTAATCGAGGTCAATATGCTTATGGCTGGGATCAGAGGTCAGTTTGCGGCCTAGGTCAAAGTTCAGCCCATGTCCATCAGAGGTCAGACTGAAATAGGGATCAGTCTGTGCCAGAATGAGAAGGTGTGGGACCTAGGGTCAGAGGGAGGTTTGTGATTGTGTGGCATACAGGGACCCACCTTGGTCAGTGCCTCTGCCACCTCAGCCTTCTCGGCCTGCAGCATGTCCCGATGCAGCGTGGCACAGCTCAGTGCCTCTCTCACTTCCACCAGCTCCTTTGCCAGCCCTGACCGCTTCTCTTCCAGCTGCTCTAGCTGTCTATGGCTGTGGGACAGAGGGCAGGCAGGTGCCTCATGTCACTTCCCTGCCCTGAGCCTCCTGCAGTCAGCAGGATGCTGGGCGGGAGGGGGGCCCCGAGGTAGGAGCCTGGGGGCAAGAACCTCAACCACAAAGACAACCAAATCCACTGCCTTTTAACTCTGTGACTCTGGGCCTCAGTTTTCAAATCTGCATAATGAGGTAACACTGGCCTTGTGAAGTTGTTATAAAGATATATGTACTTACATGAAGTGCTTACAACAGCCTGACACATCTCCCAAGGGCCTTTAGAAACAAGAATAATACCCACTACCATGATGTACTAAACAACACCATCCCTTATGTCTCAGAGAGGTGGACAGTGCAGTGGTTAACAGGTTAACTCTGAAGGCAGAATGCCTGGGTTCAAATCCTGGCTCTTCCACTAACTAGCTGTGTGACCTGGGGCAAGTTACATGACCTCTCTATGCCTCAGTTTCACCATCCATTAAATGGAGATAATAATAACTTCTACATCACAGGGTTATCATGAGAGTTAAGTGAAAGAATCTAGGGGCTTAAAATGGTGTCTGGCACTTAGTAATATTAGTACTAATTTTGCTACTTTTTTTTTTGGTGGTTGGCCAGTACAGGAATCCAAACCTTTGACCTCGGTGTTATGACACTGTGCTCTAACCAACTCAGCTGACCTGCCAGCTCCTAACTACTGTTATTTTAATTACTGTTGTTTTTATCAGCCAAGCTCCACCTCCTACCAGTTGGCTGATCCCAAATAAGTGACTATATACCTCTCCGAGATTCAATTTCCTGAAATGGGGCTGGTTAGAAGATCCTATATCAGAGGGGTGCCATGGGACACAGTGGGTGCTCCCTAGCCCCCAGAAACGCTGTCGGGAGCCCCGAGGCACATTTGAAGCACCCTGGCAGGAAGGTGAGAAGCTGCTCACCTGCGCTCCAGCTCCCTGCGTGCCCGTGCGCCATCCTGCGCCGTGTCCTCCTGCTCTTCCTCCAGCCGGTCCCGCTGGCGCCGCAGCTCCTCCTGGCTGGCCTGCAGCTTCTCCCGCTCCTGCTGTAGCTCCTCGGCCTGCTGCTGGGCCACCTGCAGGCTGTGGGCCAGGCTGTCCTTCTCCCTGTGGGACAAGGGGAGGGAGAGCAGAGAGAGGTGCTGGACTGCTCTCAGCAGGGAAGACAGCTGTGCTAGCCGTGTGCCGCCCCCTCCTATCCTCCACCTGCAGTCAGCAGGATGCTGGGTGGGAGTGGGCACTTCCCTCCGGGAAGCCTGCTTTGGCCCTGCCCGTGGTGGACTCGCTTCACTCACACCTCCAGGCAGAGGAGACCCAGGTTGCCTTCTCCCCAGCCCACCCACTCAGAGGCCCAGTGCAAAGGATGGAGGCGCTGGCATTATCTCCAAGCCCCTACAGGTACAGGAGGCCAGGACTATGCTCCTGGGACACTCAGGAAATTTTGCTGCCAGCTCTGCTAGTCCATGTGACTAGGAAATGCCCCCTGCAATACCCTCTGCCCCTCGATTCTGGGAAAGCCAGTAGAGCTAGGTCTGTCCAGGTCCCACAGCTCCTGTCATGGGTCAGCAACACATGATAGCCATGGCAGGGGAGGGAGGAGGCAGCACCTGGGAACCCCAAAGACTTGCGGACACCTGCCATTTTCCCCACCTCCAGCAGTGTCAAGCAGTGGAGGTGGGGTGTCTCTGTAACAGTTCCTTCCAAGCCAGCCAGGGTCTCTGGTTCAGGCTTACTGCTGATTGCTGTCATATCTTCCAGTGCCCGCCTCTTCACTTGAAGTGGCAACCCCTAAATATACTAGATAGGAAGCCTGGCAGAGGGGGCAGGGCCTTACGATGTGATATTAGGTAAAAATAGCAGAATGCAAAATGGGATGTGGGCTGTGAACACGACTTAAAAAGCCCTTCTACTTCCCAGGCAGGGAAAGCGCGGGTTTGCTATCAGGTGGACCTGAATTCCAGTTCCCGCCCCGCCACACTCACTGCCTGAGTTTGGGCCCATCGCTCAACCTTAGGACAATAATAGTTCCAAATGGCATGAGTTTAGAGGGAAGACTAATTGAGATAATGCGAGTAAAGCACTTGGCAGAGCCTGGCACGCAGCAGGCGTGTGGGAAACACATCGGAAAGCAAAGCCGGCTCCGGACAGGGGTTAGGGTGGGCAGGTGAGGCTGGGAGGGGGTCCCAGGTGCTGCCTCCTCCCTCCCCGCCTTTTTATTTCCCCTCCGTTTTTCAAACTTTTTGTTATACAGTCACATTTATGAAGAGAAAAAAACAACCAGGCAGCTAAGAGGTGTCTTAAAAATCTCCAAGAAATACAGTCTAGAATAGTGCTGTCTATAGAACTCTCTGAGATGACAGAAATGTTCTACAGCCACGTATAGCTGTTGAGTTGAAATGTGGCTAGTGCAAGTGAGGAACTGAATTTTTACTTTTTAAACATTTTAATTAATTTAAATTTTAATAGACACACATAGCTGGTGGTGACCATATTAGTGCAGAGCCGCATCCGTAAGGCTTGGGCTGGCGTTAAGTCCAGACACTGATTTATTCTCGGCCCCCCACCTCCGACCTCCCGGGCACCTGCTCAAGAGGTCAATGGCGCTTCGCAGGCGCTGGGCCTCGCGCTGGGCGTCCTCGTGGGCCTGGGCAGCCTCGTCGGTCTTGTCTCGCAGGCGCTGTAGCTGCTCCTCCAGGGCACGGCGTTCACCCTCGCTGTCACTAAGCTGCTTTCGCAGGGTGCCCAGCAGGTCCTGGCTGGCCTCATAGCGCCCACGCATGTCCTGGGGCATGGAGACCACAGAGTCTGGGAGCTCAGGAGGCTCCCAGAGCCCACCCACTCTCTGCTGGTTCTGGGAATGTACACCAGCCTACACTGGGCCTGGGCCTGGGCCCGCGTGGGGAAGGAGAGCGGCCCTGAGCCCCCAAGACTAGGTTTCTACACCCCTTCTCTGTGCTCTCACCACCCTTCTGAGCCTTCAGCTCCCTGGGCTCCCAGACACGCCTGTCTTGGCCCCCCTGAAGCTACACAAACCCCCAAGCATACTCCTTCCTCTCTTAGGTTCGGACTCCACCCCAGGCCTCCCAGACTCCTCCCCCTGGCATCCTGGCTCCACCCTCTTGGGAAAGGAAGTGCTTAGTCCCCCTGGGATCCGGCTCCAGACCACTCCCCTGGGTCTCAAACCACTCCCCTAGAACTCACGCCCCACCTGCCAGTCCTAAGCTACAGTGGCCTGTAGCACTGAGACCACAGGAGGCAGACTTGTGTAATCTCGGTGGCCAAGCATGCTCAGTAAATAGTTTACCCCTCAATGACCTCCAGTGGGTCTAAAGAGCACCTAGAATATTCCAAGTGTATTTGGCGCATGTGAGGGAATTTGACCAATGAGCATGCTCCAAAGAGACCAACTGAGCATGTGCAAGACTGGGTTACATGACTGGGATCAACCCCGCTAGCTGAGTATTCCTGAGCTGGCGTGAGTGCGTACACAGACAGCGGGACTATAGAAGGAGAATCCGGGAAGGAAGCGGGGCTGTCGCTCACTCTCTCTGCAGCCAGGCCGCACTTTGTCTGTGAGGTGTGTATTTCTTATTTTTTGTGTTAAACTTGCCTTTAGCAGGCTGCTGTTCATTCTAGAACCAGTTGCCCTTTGTAAAGTGTGTATTTCTTGCTTTTGTGTTAAACTTGGTGCAGCTGCTGCTCAGTCTCTGGAGCCAGGCCGCACTTTCCCTGTGACGTCTGTATTTCTTATTCCTTACATTAAACCTGTTTCACTTTCTACTGTGACTCTGCTCTTGAATGCTTTCCTGTGGCGGAGTCAAGAACCTGGTGTGTGTGTGGGGGGGTGTTGAAGCCAACCGTCAGCCCCCGGGAGACCCTCTCCTCCAGTGTCACTCTGACGCCCCCCCGTCCCTACTTCCCAAGCTCTTCCCATCCTAGGCTCTGATCCCTTGTTCTAGACTTCGCCCCACAGTCCTGGCTCTGTATGACCAGGGTCCTCATCTCCCTTTCTCCCAGGAGTCTAACTCCACAGCAGCCTCCTCTGTTCCCAGGCTCCACCACCAGCCACCCAAGCACTACCCATTCTGGGCTCAGATTCTGCCCCAGAGCTTTCGGCCGTCTCCTCGGGTCTTAACACCCTCGGCCACTTTTCCTCCGGTTCTTTCCATCCCGGGATGCTCAGGCTTCTTCTCCCAGGATCCTGGCCCCGCCCCCGGGGTGCCCAAGCCCCTGCCCAGAACGCTCAGGCCGGTTGCTACCTGGACCTGCAGCTGGCGCTTGTGCAGGGCGGACTGGATCAGCGCGAGCGTGGAGGGGTCAGAGCAGGCCGGGGAAGGGCCTCGGCGCGGGGAACGGCCGCGGGCGGGGGAGGAGCGCCGCGGCGGAGACGGGGTCCGCGGGCCAGACAGTCCCCGCAGGCTGCAGTCCGACGTGTCCGCCGTGCGCTCGGAGCCGCTGAGCTGGACACCGCTCTCCACGTCCGACAGGACGGCCTGAGGGTGGGGTAGGGGGCCAGAAGGAGGTGGACAGCCGCGGGGTTAGCTGGGCAAAGAAGCCCAGGCGAGGCTGTGAAGCCGCTTCGTCCCAAACGCACATTGGAAGCTCCACCCCCTACAGGAAGCCTTCCTGATTCCACCTCCTCCACCAGCTCACTGCCCTCAGCTCGTCCATAAGGCCTCTCAGTCACTGTGAAGCGTGGAGGGGTCAGGGCAGGCCGGGGAAGGGCCTCGGCGCGGGGAACGGCCGCGGGCGGGGGAGGAGCGCCGCGGCGGAGACGGGGTCCGCGGGCCAGACAGTCCCCGCAGGCTGCAGTCCGACGTGTCCGCCGTGCGCTCGGAGCCACTGAGCTGGACACCGCTCTCCACGTCCGACAGGACGGCCTGAGGGTGGGGTAGGGGGCCAGAAGGAGGTGGACAGCCGCGGGGTTAGCTGGGCAAAGAAGCCCAGGCGAGGCTGTGAAGCCGCTTCGTCCCAAACGCACATTGGAAGCTCCCCCCCCTACAGGAAGCCTTCCTGATTCCACCTCCTCCACCAGCTCACTGCCCTCAGCTCGTCCATAAGGCCTCTCAGTCACTGTGAAGACATCATTCAGCATTTCTCAAAGATGGGCATGGAAAGTGCCGTGTGCCTCCCCTTTGAAACTTGGGGGCTCCCCCAGGGCAGAGGACGGTGAGCTTGCACGGGTGTAGAACAGCAGCCTGGGTCCCAGGCCCCCACCCCTTGCCATTCAGCCCAAGGCTACCAGAGCGCCTGACGGTTGGCCTAGGATTCCCACCCCTCTGGCCTCTCTGGGCTCCCTCCCACCTCGCACCTGTGCCAGGTCCCTCAGGGTCTGCTGCAGCCCCTCTCCGTCCTCTGTCTCCAGGGCCGCCTGCTCCTGTAGCCGCAGGGATTCCTGGAGTGAGGTTAGGGAGACAAAGAAAGGGTGGTCAGGGGCTCTGCCGTAGTCTGAAACCATCCCTCCCTGGTCCACTACTGACTAGGTGGCCTCTAAGGCCGTTGCCATAGGCCAGCCACTGGTAGATCCCACAGCAGCCCCAATGCCCTCACCGAACAGACAAAGCACAGTATCCTGTCCCAGATCACACAGACTATTGGAGAAGAGCTGGACGTAGAACCTAGGTCGGGCCCCACACAGAAGGGTGACCAACCCAGGCAATTCCCTTGAGGACAGTCCCATTGGTGGGGAAGTAGCTGAGTTCCCAGAGGAAGAACCCTGGGCCAGGAGAACACAGGCCAGAGTTCAAGTCCTGACTGCCCTGCTTACTGGCTCTGAGACACTGGACAAGAATTTCCCCTCTTAGGTCTTGGTTTCCTCATCTGTAAAATGGGAATTGTGCTATAGGGCTACTGGGAGAATGAAATGGGATAAAGAGGGTGAATGTGCTTACCACTAAGCCTGGCACACACTATAAGGGGCAAAACTGAGTTTGAATGGGATGCTCAGGGTGGCCCAAGCAGCCCAGCCCAAGGCCTGTGTCCATGGATCTGGTTGGTCCCCCATCCCACCATGCCACATCTCAGGGGGAGCTGCATCTCACCAGGGCCTCAAGCTTCTCAGTGAGGGCCTTGTTGACCTGATCCTTCTCCAGATTCTGGTTCTGAAGACGTTCTACTGCCAGGGCCAGCTCTGTCACCCTGGAGATGAGGGAGCAACAGAGGTAAATGGAGGACCCACCCCAGCTTCTCCTTAAATCCACCAGCTTTTGTGTCCCTCATGCTTCCTCAAACCTGAGGCAGTGACCCTAGGATCCACCTCCCTAGCTGTGTGACCTTGGGCAAGTCGCTTCTCCTCTCTGGGCCTCAGGCTTCTCATCTGTAAAATGGGAATGAGGTTACCACCAGTTTTATCTCAGGGGAGAGCACTTTGGGACTTGTCCAGGTGGCAGGAGTTAAGAGCACAGTTCTGTCATTGGAGGTTGACCCACTCGTGTTGTGCCCTGGGCAAGAGTCCTGTACACCTCAGTCTCCACCTCTGCCAAACAGGATGCCTGAGAAGACTGGCTGAACTCATCCTGGTGAAGACACTCCCTCCTCCCTGAGTCTCCAGGTGCACCCCCGGCAGGGAAGCCTGCCTCATATAGTGCCCATCAGGCACCCACCTGGCACTGAGGTCAGCCTTGTCTAGGTCACTTTGCACCTGCAGCTGGGTCAGGTCCTTCTCACGGAGCACCTTGTCCCGCAGCTGCTCCTCCAGCTGGGCCTGCAGAAGTGCCTGCTTCTCCAGGGCTGCCTCAGCCCGGCTCTCTGCCAGCCGCAGGCCTGCACTCAGCCCCAGGCCCGCCTCCTGGACAGCCCGTGATGTCCGGGCCAACTCCCCTCCTAGCTGCAGCAGGTCCCTGGGGAAGAGAACACTGGATGGGATAGGATGCAGGAGGTGGGCTTGCAACTCAAATTAAAACTACACTGGGATGCCATTTGTCACTATCAGATTGGGAAAAAAAAAAGTTACATAATGCACAGCGTGGGTGAGGCTATGGGTAATAGGCCCTCGCCTACATGACTGATGGGAAGGTAAGTGGATACAACCACCATGGAGGGCAATTAGGAAGAGTTCTGAAAATTATGAATGGATAGGCCCTTTGCCCTACCAACTCCACGTTTAAGAATATAACCTACAGATATACCTTAACACAAGTGAAATGACCTGTGTACAAGGTGATTCACTGCGGCATGGCCCATGTAAAAAACCTAAATGTCCATCAAAAGGGGACTGCTATTAAATAAATTATGGTACATCCATTCAATGGGATACTCTGTGACAGAGAAAAACCAATAGAGAGGTTCTTCATAGTCTGATATAGGGGCAACTCCCAGTTATAACTATTAGGTGAGGGCCGGCCACACTTGGGAGAGTGTGGTGCTGATAACACCAAGGCCACAAGTTCGGATCCCTTATAGGGATGGCTGGTTAGCTCACTTGGGTGAGTGTGGTGCTGACAACACCAAGACAAGGGTTAAGATCCCCTTACCGGTCATCTTTAAAACAAAACAAAACAAAAAACTATTAGGTGAAGAAAGCATCTTCAAGAACTGCAAAGATGAAATTCTACCAAGAGAATATACCAAAAAGGTGTGTGTGTGTAATCTGCTGTGTTTGCAAAATAACCCTGGTAGGTCACTTAGGAAGCTGATAAATGCTGCTTGCCTCCAAGGAGGGGAGGGGAGTGTCTGCAGCCAGAGGCGGGAGGAAGATTTTTTTACTGTACATCCTTTTGAAATGTGAACCTTGAAATCCTTCCCTTTCTCTCTCTCTCTGTTTTTTTTTTTTTTTGGCAGCTGGCCAGTACAGGGATCTGAACCCTTGATCTCGGTGTTATAATACAGTGCTCTAAGCAACTGAGCTAACTGGCCAGCCCTTCTTTTCCTTTCTTGAAAGAACTGTACCAGCAGGTATCCAGCAGCAGGGAGGGGACATGCCTCATCATAGGATTCCGGTTAATACATGAAGGAGTGACAGATGAGAATATCACAACTTTGCAACCTCTGATGAATACTCAGATCCTGGCATTGAGCCAAGGTCACAACAAGAGAGACACCCAGGCATAAGGGGCCTCCTGTTGGAAAAACACAGTCCACTTATAGAGTCTTGCCAAGAAAACAAAAAACAAACCACAACCGAAACTGAATCTGATCTAGCTTCGGATCCAACATCAAGTTACAGGAAACACAGGGGACACAGGAACATGTTAAATGACACCACATGATTGCAACCAACAAAATCCAGACTATGGGATTATCTAGGGACAACTGTCTCAGTTTTCTGAACAAATAAATTAAAAGAGACTTAAAAGATAAAGCAACCAATCACATTTTGTGACTGTCTTTGGATCGTGATTCAAACAAATTATAAAGACAAAAAGTGAAGCAAGATTATCTGTGACATTTATGAGTCAACTAAAAAATGTGGACACTATTTGATTTTTTTTTTTTTTTTTAAAAAAGATGACCGGTAAGGGGATCTCAACCCTTGGCTTGGTGTTGTCAGCACCACGCTCAGCCAGTGAGCAAACCGGCCATCCCTATATGGGATCCGAACCCGTGGCCTTGGTGTTATCAGCACCGCACTCTACCGAGTGAGCCACGGGCCGGCCTACACTATTTGATTTTTAAGAAAGGATTATTAGGGCCGGCCCGGTGGTGCACTGGAGAGTACGCCGCTTGGGAGTGAGGCAGCGCTCCCGCCGAGGGTTCGGATCCCATGTGGTGACTGGTTCCTGCTCACTGACTGAGCGTGGCACAGGCGCAACACCGAGGGTTGCAATCCCTTACCGGTCAGTGAAAAAAAAAAAGGATTATTAATTAAAAACTTTTAATGTAAAAAGGAAACACATTGGCCTCCTTCCTCAGGGCTCTCCCCGGCAGCCTAATCTGTCCCACTGTGGGGCTGATTGTCCACGCTAGTCACAGCAAGCTTCTGCTCCAAGATCACGCAGGACCAAGCTCGCCTGCCTAGGCGGACTCTCTTTTCTCTTCACTTGCTCTTGACTCCAACTCTGCCGTTTTCTTTTTTAAAGATGACCAGTAAGGGGATCTTAACCCTTCACTTGGTGTTATCAGCACCACACTCTCCCTAGTGAGCCACGGGCCGGCCCCAAAACTATTTTTTCTTTTTTTTTTGTCTTTTTTGTGACCGGTAAGGGGATCGCAACCCTTGGTGTTGTGTCGCCCACACTGCCAAGTGTGCCACGGGGCCGGCCCCCCAACCCTGCTGTTTTCTCCCACCTCCAAGCCTCTGCTCATGCTGTCCCCTGCATCTGGAACAACCCCCGCTCCACCAGTTATAATCCTACCCTTCCCTTGGGCACCATGCAAATTCCCCCCCATCTACAAAGCATTTTTCTGGGCCGGCCCGGTGGCGCACTCGGTTGAGTGCGGCGCTTGGGAGTGTGGTGGCGCTCCCGCCGAGGGTTCGGATCTCATATAGAGACCGTCTGCTCACTGGCTGAGCGCGGTGCGGGCGCGACACTGAGGGTTGCGATCCCAAGTGCGGCGCTTGGGAGTGTGGTGGCGCTCCCGCTGAGGGTTCGGATCCCATATAGAGACCGTCTGTTCACTGGCTGAGCGCGGTGCGGGCGCGACACTGAGGGTTGCGATCCCGTTGCCGGTCGCGGTGCGGGCGCAACGCCGAGGCTTGCGATCCCTTTACCAGTCACGAAAAAAGACAAAAAGGGAAAAAAAATACAAAGCATTTTTCTGACCTCCCACCCCTCCCATCTTTCTGACCCTCCAGGATATACCCTCTGTCCCACTTTCATGGCACTGACCCATGACTTCTTCAGTCTAGAATTTGGGGGAGTTATGTCTTTTTATGACTACAGGTTGTGAGATCCTTAGTAGCAGAAACTGAATGTTCTAGTGGATTAAAAGCAGCTTCAAATACTGACTTAGCCACTTACATACTACTGTGTGACTTTAAGAAAGTCACTCAACCTCTCTGAGCCTCAGTGTCCTCATCTTAAAATGGGGGTTATTACAGTTCCTACCTCACAGGGACACTATGAATATTAATTGAAATAAAATGTACAAAGAGCCTAGTTCATAGTAAACTACTAGCAAATGTCTGCCATGATTGTGGTAATAGTTAATTATTATAAGTCTCCAGGGCCTGGCACACAGTAGGTGTTGAATTGAACTGAAGTTCAACTGAGTTGAGTTTGAATTAAAGAGCAGGGTTGGTTCCAGCTGCTGCAGAGTCTCCCCGAGCCACACCCCACCCCCCAGCCAAGTCTCACCTCTCGGTGGACATCTTCACCTCGCTGAGCAGCCGTCGGACCCCCACAACCTGCCTCCAGAGGAGGAGAAGGCGGCTGTGCTCATTGCTGAAGTAGGCATTGAAGGACTGGAGGGAAGAGGTGCCACGTGAGGGGCAGGAGTGAGAGCCTGTCCACTTCCTCCCCCAGCACCCCCCAGCTCCAGGGAGTGCGTCTTCCCAGGGGCTGGCTCTGGGCTGCATGGAGCTTATGCTCCCCAGCCTCCACAGCTCCCTCTTGCACAGCAAACTGGGTTTTGATGCCTGTGCAATCGATAGGGCTGCGACAGGCGGTGAGGAAGGGCAGAAAGTGCTGGGACCTAGGTTTGCATCCCAGCTGCCAGTTGCATGACTATGAGCAGGTTATTCAACCTGTCTTTAAAACGAGGATAATGGGCTGGTTAGCTCAGTTGGTTAGAACGTGAGGCTAAGACCAAGGTCCAAGGTTCTATCCTTGTACCAGCAGGCAAAAAAATAATAATAATAAATAAATAAACAACATGAGGGTAATGATAGTGCCTATCACATATAATTATGAGGAATAAAAGAAAAGGCACTCCTGGCAAATGTCCTAGTGAAGGCCAGCTATTACAACAGCGACTAGGTACCTCTGCGAAAGAACTCCCCTGGCCAGCGGTGCCGCTCCCTCTCTAGACTTGCGAGCCCAGCACTCCACAAGGGCCTTTCCCCAGGGGTCAGGCTGGCCTCCCAGCACCCCCACCCACCTCCTCCTCACGCCTCCATGCTGCCTCCCGCTGCTCCAGCTCCTTGCGGCTGCGTGTCCAGTCGCTGGTCACCTTTCGTATGTCCTCGCTCAGAGCCTGGTTGGCTGAGCCTGCCTGGTCCAGCTGCTCTCGGAGCATAGCATTCACCTGAACCAGGCTGGCACTCCTGGGCAGAGCAAAAGGGACCAGTGGGTGCTTGCTCAGGGAGGGTCACCCTGTTGTACCTTCCCCACTGCACCCTCACCTCTGTTGTTCCTCCTCTAGGCGGAGGAGGGCGCTCTCCAGGTCTTGGCTGTGTTCTGTGTCCTGGGTGGGAGGGGAGAAGCATGAGGCTGGGTAGGTGAGGCGGGGAGTGTGTCCCTGCCCAACCCTAGCACCCACCCTCAGCCGCTGCTGCTCCAGCTCCGTGGATCTATCCAGCAGCTGCTGCTCCAGCTCCGAGCACTTCTTCTTGTACTGGAGGATCTGGGGGTGGGTGGGGAGCAGATGGTGAGCCCCAGGGGGTGTGGGCATGGCAAAATGAGTATACAGGAGGGCAGGAGTGGGAGTGGGTGGCCCTGACCTTGGCTTGCAGCCGCTGCACAAGCTGGGCCTGCCTCTGCTGGCCCTCCTGGTAGGCCTGCAGCTTGCGCCGGTAGGAGGCCTGCTCCTCCTGCAGCTGCCTGCGCAGCTCCACACTCTGCCGTACCAGTCCCCTGGGCTCCTGTGTCTCCAGCTCCCCAGACTCCAGGCGCACAGCCTGCTCCAGCTGCAGGGAAAGACCCTGGGTGAGAGTCCTGGGCTTCCTGGGAAGGCAGGCACAGGCCTCTGCAGGAGGCACCAGGCTGGGCCTAGACCCACAATGCCTTGCAGGCTGATAGCCTGGTACCTGGGGGGAGCAGGCACATGTGGACCAGTCCAGGATGCAGTGCATGGGTGCACAGGCTAATGCAGCCATGCATGGACGTATAGACCAGACATGCATGGATGCACAGATGGGAAATGCATGGATACAAGTTCGTGCCTACAAAACACAAAGATGTACCTGGCAGAAAACACTAATCCTCAGTGCACTGAGTGCACTGTGTGCCCCTCCTCCAGAACCCTTAGCCCCATTGTGGTTTATAATTATTAGATACATGCCTATGTCTCCCCGCCCCCGCCCCCAACCCAACCCCACCCCAACGTGAGCACAGCAAAGCCTGGATTTTTGTTCCCCACTGTATCTTAGTACCTAGAACAGTGATGTGGCATGGCTCACAGTCAGTAAATATTTTTTGAGATCATGAATTAACATGAGCACATGTGAACATATTCCAAACAGAGGCAGCAATACTCAGATGCATATCTGAGCTTACAGACATGCACATATAATGCATCCACACAGACAGTCTCAAATACCCCCAGGGTGACACAGATCACACCCCCATATGCACAGGAGCAAGAGTTGTAAGAGGTGCACACAAACGTCACCCTGAGGCAGCAATACTCAGATGCATATCTGAGCTTACAGACATGCACATATAATGCATCCACACACACAGTCTCAAATACCCCCAGGGTGACACAGATCACACCCCCATATGCACAGGAGCAAGAGTTGTAAGAGGTGCACACAAACGTCACCCTATCCAGCACCTGCTTATTAATGCCCTCTCAGTCCCCACCTCTCCCTTACCTCATGGGAAGCCTCTGCTGCTGCCCTCCTTCCCCCACCCCCAGAGAGCCCCCTTCATCCTTGGACCCCTGTGGGCACAGGCGGGATGCCTGCCAGCTCTAGCCATCCCCACTAGCCATGGCCCCTGCTGATCCCAAGCGGCCCCCTCAGCCTTGTCCAGCTGTTGGGGGAAGGGAGGAGGATGAGTGGACTAAGAAGGGTAGGGAGAGCACACACTGTGGGCGGCCGTGACCACCAACGGGATGACCCCCCAGCCCGGCTCACCATCCACCTCCCCAGCACCTGGCCTGCTACAGCCTGGGCAGAGCAGTCACACACAAACCCATGCAGGGTGTCACAGGGAAGCCAACAGGAGGGGCAGCTACTCGCCCCCACTAATCTCCAGTCCAGGCCAGGTTAGCAGCGGAGACAGCTGTCCTCCAGGCCCGCATCCACCCAGTATGCCCAGGAGATGCTTCATGAGCCACTGGCAAAGCTGAGGACAACTGCACCTCTAACCACCCCACCCCCAGGGCACCCACTCGGGCTCCACCAAGCGACTGGCTGTGGCTGCTTGGGGGTTCCCCTCGAGTTGGGAGGAGCCCAAGCTAAGGGTGCTGAGGGGAGGTGGAAGTAGGGGGTTTCTGCCTGGATGGCGGCTGCAGGCCTGTGGCAAGTGTCTACACAAAGCCCTCCTAAGTAGGGTGGTGGGCAGAGTGTCCACATCTGTGTGGCGGTGGTGGCCCTGAAATGTGTGCGAGTTTGCGTCAATGTGGGTGCACCTCCTTGGGTGTGAGTGGGGTGTGTTTTGTCATTTGTCTCCACACAGGCCACTGTGTGTCTCCGTGCATGGGTGCTGGGTACATGCGGACAATTTGGTGTGTCCAGGCCTTCACGTGAACCTGGGAGAGGTGGTGTCTGTGTTTGTGGGTCTATGTTGCAGTGCAAGTGTTGGGTCCATCCATGTGTCTCAGGGCATGTGTTCACATGTTTGCATATGTCTGTGTGTCAGGGAGGCATGTGCACAGCTGTAAGTGGGTAGGTCTGGGAGTGTGTCTGGGCTCTACATGTCTCTGGTGTGTGTGTCAGCAACTATATGCTTTGTACAACAACGCATACCTTTGTGGCACTGATGGTGGCTGTGTTGTGTTATGTACTGCTTCTGTCCATGCATTTGGGAGATGGGAGACAATGGGTTGTGTTGCCTGCACTATGGGTACATTGTGGAGGTGGGACTATTTGTCTGGGTGACTAGTCTCTGCCTGTGTGGGACTGTGCGGTGTGTGGCTGTGGGTGCTGGTTATGCTGTGACATTCCATGAATCTGAATGTGTCCGTGAGGTGGGTGTATGTTTCCGTGTGGCATGTTTCTCACATCCGTGTGTCTGTGTGTGGGGCCTGTTGTGGCCTGTGTTGTATGCACTTTGCACATCTGTGTGAACCAGATGCTGTTTGCTTCTGTGATTTAGAGGGGTCTGACAACCCTTCCCCAGCGCTCACAGCTGGAGCCAGGCCACTCCCAGTCACACCTCTCCCCTCCCACAAACTGCCCTGAAGAAAACAGCCTTTCCATTCTACTTGCAATACAAAAGGGAAGGAGGCTGATACCAAGCCAGGGATGAAAGAAGTTTACAGTCTCCCCTAGCAACTGCTTCCCTCTTATCCACCATTCAATTCACTCTGTCCAGTTGCCATAGACACTGGGGGAGACCAGGGAGTCCATCCTCGGAAGCCAAGGGGGCATGGCCACTCCCCATTGCCGCTCCTCTTTTCCCTCCCCAGCTGCCTTATCCTACGCCTGCTCCTCAGGGACAGGAAGAAGGAGACAGGGCCTCCACAGGGACCCTGAGGCCCTCCCTCTGACATGGGAGGTAGCCTCTCAGAGCCCCTGCCTCAGTTTCCCGGCAGGATATGCAGTCAACAGGACTGGATCCTGACCCTCACTCCACTCCCCATCCCAGGGGTACTGTGGGTTTAATGGGTCAGAACAACCTCGTTGACTGCTCCCCAGCCCAGCCCAGTATGCAAATTATGTCCACAGTGGGAGGCCCTGCCACCTGCAGGCATGGGGACAGTGGGCAGCAGGGAGGGACAGTGCCACAGGTCTGCAGAGCCCTGGAGCAGGGGTCTCATCCCAGCTCCACCACTGACCTTGGGCCTATTATGCCCCCTTCTCCAGGCCTCATCTTCCCCATCTTTTTTTTTTTAAAAGATGACCGGTAAGGGGATCTTTTTTTTTTTTTTTTTTTTCCCTTTTTGTCTTTTTTCGTGTCTGGCAACGGATCGCAACCCTCAGTGTCACCCCTGTACCGGG